ATATAATATCATAACTATTAACAAATAGGGTTAATCGTTTTTTTTTTTTTTTTTTAATCAGAAAATTTTAAACATTTGCTTTAGGGGAAAGTTCATTTTTGTTACCAATTGTATCTAGATTTTGGCCTTGTGAGAGAAGAGTATAATCTATTAAAATTGTGTATTTGTGTTACTCATGTGTATAAATGTCTAATGTAAATAACAGTATTTTGCATCTGTACCATGTAGTTGTATAGTCAAATGGATGTTGATGTTGTGGACAGCCAAGTAAAGAGAGATATTTCTCTTTATGTCTTTCAATACTGGGTAGGTGGAAAATAAGAGCTGTTAGCTAGAGAGAGCTAGTTTTTTTCTATTTTTGGATCATGATTTGCTGCCACCTCCACTGTAGTGTTCTTTTGCTCCAAATACCTAAGGGTTCTAGAACCATTTCTTATGCCAATTTAAGCAATACTGGTTTAGGAGAATTTGATACATTTGGGACTGACCACTACCTGAATGGGGATAATATGAATAGAGAGAAAAATTATATTCAGAGAGTGCATAACAGTTAGGTAAACATTTAGATACAGGATTAAGTAAAGAGATAAAAGTATTTTCATTTTGGTGAGCTTTTAATAAAACTTTATCTTAATGGGAGAATTTGAAACTGTTGAACTCACTTATGTTTTATAGTTTGATAGATAATTATGTTTCTGCTTTGTGGAAGGACATTTAAAGCAGTCATCTTTTAGTCATTCATTTAAACAAACTAAAGAGCAAGCGCTTTATTATTTTTATACTTAACGTCTATGATTTGCTAAAAATTTATAACCAACTGATTTGTGAATCCCTGCCAGATGTAGATTCAGTTAACATTTCCTGTAAGTCTTCTATGTATTAGACACTCTACAAGGTGCCTTCCAATGCAACCACGTATTTAATTTCATTTTCATTTTTAGTAACCCTTATAGATGTCATTGTCTACATTTTATAATTGAAGTTCAGGTACATTAAATAATTTGGACCTGGCCTATTAGTAAGTAATGCAACTAGGTCTTGAATGTAAGTCCTGCATCTCTGAGCACAGGGTTCCACTGCTACTGCCACCTTGGGTAATTAATAAATCCCTCAAGTAAGATAGTCACCATTTGAACTTGCTTAGTTTTTATGTAGCTTTTTTACCTATTAGGACATAAAATAGATGTACCAGAAATAATTGTTAAATGACCTTAGTCATTTAAATGATAACACTCCCATAAATAATGAAACTCTCCTTTAGAGTTGTAACTACCTGTGTAATCATGTAATAACAGTTATCTGCTACAGAGAACAGTTTCTGTTTCTCTTCCTGTTTTTATTCTAATGGTAGCAATTATGTTAGGATTTTTAAACTCGCTTTACATTTCCAAATAATTTATTTATCTTTTCCAGCTGGCTGCAATAAAACTTGGCCGATATGGAGAAGACCTTCTCTTCTATCTTTATTACATGAATGGAGGAGACGTATTACAACTTTTAGCTGCAGTAGAGCTGTATGTTCAAAGTATTTTTAAACACTTTTGTATTATAGTGGATCTTGTTTATTCTGAAAGCTGCTTTTTAAAAATAATGGCTGTAGTTTGTCTTTTGTTTTAAAGTGGAACTATTTCTCCATCGAGAAATTTAAGTTGTTTATTTTTACATTTATACAGTTAATTTAGATAGAAACCTTATATTACCATGTCTTCATAATCACTGTATACATGGCGAATTTTAAATTTAAACAAATTTGTAAAAAGACAAAATCAACTTGACTAATGAATTTGCTGAATCTAATTATACATATATGAAGTATAGGATATGGTTCATAACTGTGGCTCATCTTGTGGAACCACATGTTAATGACAGTGAATTTCATTTAATAAACATCTATTAAATCACTGTACATATTTCTTATGTGTTTTGAAGTGTTGATAAAGTCCACATTCATCATCAGGAGCCTACTGGCCAACTTAAATTAGCATTAAGAAGTTGGTCCATTGGATATGTTTTTCTTCTGAGCAGTTCTGTTTTTACCTGATGCCCTAAGAAAAAAATTGTGTCATTTCTTGTATGTCCTATCGGTAACAGTTTGTTACCAGTAGTATGTTTACTAGAGAGTGAGTTGTTAGTAAAAATTTATGATGTTATGATTGGGAGACCTTTTTACAGATTTAAGTATTTTATAATATTCTTAATAACATTTTTACAAATGGTCTTGCATCAGATACTTAAATGTAAAATTCACTGTGTTGATAATAAATTGTTTTTTATTTCTCAATTGAGAATTTGTTTTTTTCCCATGTTTTCCTCTCATTTTTTGTAAGATAGCGATTGTTTAATTTATTCATAAGTAAATAAATTTATTTATTTATTTGTCCATCCATCACTGGCAATTCTGTCTCATATCTTATTTCTGTCTACAAATTTCCTCATGGTATTGGTAGGGAAGTATTTGTTTACATGGAGGTTTGTTCTACCAAAGATGGTTTTTGTAATACATTTACCTCCTTTGAATGTTACTTCCCCAGTTTACAAGTGGTGGTTAAACCTCATTGATTCTTGCATGAATTCTGATGGACATTCTTTTGGCTTATGAGAATTTAGGATCAATGAGATTTGAATAAAAATTAAAAGTAATATATTCATTAAGACTTTTTAAAATGGATATTCTGTTTTCGGCATAGTCACGGAATTATATGAATTTAAATAGTTAATTCAAATAGTGTATTTATATTTAGTTCCTTATGCAGAATAATGTAAATAGCTGGTGGGCTGTTTGTTTTAATAGATACCTCAATTTCTATTGAATATTAAGAACAAGAAAGGAGTGCAGTTTCTGTTTCTGGAACACAAAAGTATCTTTATTTGGTCTGCCTAAATTTTTATCACATTGCTCATAGAGCTTTTAAGATCTCGTTTTGTTTGCATAAAAAATTTGCTCAGTTAAATAAAGATGTATGTATTAAAGAGTGCGGGTTCGGGGCAAATTAAGAAATTATTTTCCTATATTTATTTCACTATGGTTGTGTTTAATAACAATAAAAGTTAGGATAAAGAAGCACTCATTTAATGTATTTTATGCATAATTATTTTCTTAGAAAAGTTTTATAAAATGTGAGCCACAGGAAAAAATTAATTGTCTTTTTCTCTTAAAAATTGAAGTTTTAACCGTGATTGGAGATACCACAAAGAAGAACGAGTATGGATTACCAGGGCACCAGGCATGGAGCCAACAATGAAAACCAATACATATGAGAGGGGAACATATTACTTCTTTGACTGTCTTAACTGGAGGAAAGTAGCTAAGGTATATATTTTTTTCATGTGCAAATGCAAATTCGTAAATGTGTAACTCTAGATTTTGAAAAGAAGTGACCTCTTTTATCTGTTTATATGTACCATTATATTCATTCCAATAATATGCCAGATGTTTGTTAAGTCTCTTGTCTCTACTTTCTTGGCTTGATTTAACTCTAGTCGAGTATGCAGAAACAGTTTATTTCACCCATAGTTAGAAAACTGATTGAACTTGGTAAGAAATTTTGTAATTTTTCAAAAACCTGGTAAACTTTTGAATTGTTTGTGCTACTCAGTTATAAAATAAAGATACCCCCTTGCAATATCAGTCATGTATTCTTATATTATTATTAGTTCTGATTAAGCAAGTATGAGATTTTCTTAAACCCAGTATTTAAACAGATATAGTCTTTTTAAAACACTTGCACTCATTAAAAAAAGATGCTTGAGTTTTTTAAACAGAAGAAAAATATTTCTTGACAATTCATTGAGTGATTTTTTAGTTGTTGGTTTGGGCTTTTTTTTTCCTTTGAGTCAGCTTTACTAAACTGATAAAAAGGTAAAATGTTCTAAGAAGACAGTGTAAAATGCTTACCATGTGTTTAACACACAAAAAAATTTTACATCACAAGATTTTATATAAAACTTGAAAAAAGAAATATGAAAAGATGAGCCCAACAAAGAACACCAAAACGAGACACATAAAAGAGGTTGAATTTTTATTATTATTATTTTTGGGTGTTTCTCATTGGTAAATGTCATTATTTGTCAGACCAAGTCCATATACCACTGCACACTGTTTGAGTTATTTTAACAATTCTCATTATTATGCATATCTTGATTTCAAAAGTTAGATATATGACCTAATATTTTAGTTAAATAGAAATAATTACATTATTTATAAATAGTGAATGAGACATTGTGCATGTTACCTGTTCTTTAAGAAGTATAGTGTAATAGCTATAGTCTTTGTGTCATGGATTTGAATGTAACTCCTGTTTCTGCTATTTGTCACCTTGTGCAAGTTTCCTTTCTTTATTTTTTAAATTGAAATACTTGTCTCTAAATTATCATGAAGATTAAATGAGAATACAAACAAACATTTACACTGAGTGCAGTGCTTGGCCTGTATTGAGTATTTGATACATGGGAGTAGTTGTGGTAGTTTATTGCTATTGTTTCTATCATCGTTATTACAGCTTATTACTATTTTTCTTAAGATGAAAAAATGATAATTGATTGTTGTTAGGTTAGGTCAGTGGTTCTCAAATTTTGGCTTGCATGAGAATTAGCTGGAGACATTGTTAAAACACAGATTACTTGGCCATACCTCCATTGTTTCTGATTTAGTAAGTCTGTGGATGGGACCTGAGAATTTGCATTTCTAACAAGTTCCCAGGTGATGCCAGTAATAATGCTAGTCATTTTCTGGAGCCATATTTTTGGTTCTGTAGTAGAGAAAGTATCTTTGGAGGGACAAAAAATTCTACTAGGAAATAACTGAAGTTTTCTCCATTTATTTGAAGCTTTTTGCTCAATATCATTGTAAATCACTCCAGACTTAATATATGCAAAAGGGATGGATGTTTGAAGTAGATAAATGCATAATTTTCGTTAAATTTTAGTTCATTAAGTGTGAAGAAATCGACTTATGTGAAAAAAATTAGTTTTCTAGAGAACTAAGTTCTCTCCATAAATTTAAATATTCAGAAACCACTTGAACATTAATACCGCACCTATATTTTCTCACAAAAGCAATTCCTCAGTCAGGTAAATGTCGTTTTAAAGAAAATTGTGTGTGTGTGTGTGTGTCTGTGTGTGTCTGTGTGTGTCTGTGTGTGTCTGTGTGTGTCTGTGTCTGTCTGTCTGTCTATTTGTCTTTCTCCCTCTTTCTGTATAAAATAATAATTTTATCCAGTTTTATCCCATAGCTCCAGTATAGTTGAGCTTTTGTATTGACCTTTACCTTTAAAATGTTTAGCAGCAAAGTAGGAAAATAAAATTGGGAAATATCATTAAACTTCCCTAAGAAATCTCTCTTGAGATAGTTTGCTGACACTGTTTAACAGAATTATTTTCATAGTGATGAAAGCAAGCAGAATTATTAGTTTCTATCAAATATCAAATTATTTTGCTTATATTAAAATACAAATTCATAAACAATAAATTTTTTACAATGATTTCTGAGTATATTTTTTAAGGTTGTTTTCAGTGTTTTCTCAGAAACTAGATAATAATTAAGAAATTTAGTTCATTCATAGTCTGTTAACAGACTTCATCATACTACAGAAAATCCATTAAAATGCCTTGTCTCCAGTTAACTTCAAAGTTAACTTTAAAGTCCCCACCTGTAAAGTAGGTGTGGCTTATTTACTATGCACAGGTAAAGAACATGCGTTAAGTAGCTACAACTCATTGTAAGAGGCCTACAGTATGCGTTAGTATTACAAGTAATAGCTTAATGTTATCATGGTAATCGTGAAAAGTATTGACCTGATTAGACCTTAATCAGGTCTCCCCATTCAGAATATCTCATATGAGGTTCTTTGTCTTTTGCAAATCACTTAATATTTTCAGAGAAATGAAGAATTGTAATATTAAGGGATTCGGTGATTTAAATTAGAAGTATTTCTTATCCCCTTAAAATTCTGACTCTTGAGTTCTAAGATGCAGCCCCTTATTTGTTTAAAGAATTTTACATAAGTCCATAATGTATGTACATAAACATTTTGACACTATATTTGCTTATTTTCCCCTTTTAGATAATCTTGACTCGTCAACAGGCTGTGTAGTCTGTCCTGTGTAATTTAGCTGGAACTACTCAATATCCCACTAGTTAAAAATTTGTGGTCATTCAGATAGTGTGTATAATCTTAATGAGTAAAATTTTTGAAACAATTACATCTACAGAGAATTTTTAGGCAATGGAGGCTGCCTTGTTATCAATAGCTTCTCAAACTTAAAGACTTAAAAAATTTAAGAATTCTTTCAACCTGACTTCACCTTGTGGGTCCAACATTGAATAGGATTTTTAATGCTTAGGATTTTTTATCATAATATCAGATTATAATATATCTGATACAAATGTGATTTTTTTTCTTTTCCCATTAACTTTACTGGTACACTTCAATACATCTTTATACTCTAATCAGTAATATGTACTTTTCTTCAAAGTAAAAATTATTTCTAATAACTATAGTTAAGATAGTTTGCTACTTCCTGAAATTTAGTGAAGATTTATCATAGTTAAGAGAAAACTGATAGTTTTGAGAATTTGAGCAAACATTTCTGCAGTGTATGTTTCTCTGTGAAATTAGATCAGTGATGACATTAATGCTTTTGTAGTAATTTATTTGACCATTTGAGTCCAATGCAAATATTTCAATTTTGCTTCACAGTAACTTTTTGAGAGTATGTAACCTAATTTTAATAATACAAAAACTAAGACATTAAAGTTAATATTTTTTAAAAGTATCTAGAACTCTTTCTGGCCTTTTAAATCATTAAACTATAAAAATCTTTTTTCCATTAAAGCAAATATATACATAGACCTTCTAAATACCTAATCTTTGAATATTTCAAAAGTTAGGTGTTCTCTTCCTTAAAGAAATTAAGAAAACTTGTGTTTAGTAATTCATCAGCCATTAATTATACACCTGCTACAGAGCTAGCACTATTCTAGGCAGTAGGTAGTGATATACAAAACAGACACCCTTCTTGCCTGTAGATTATACAAAGGTATGTATGTGTGTTGTGTGCGTATATATAACATAAATGTGTAAAAGAGATGTTATCAACAATCAAAGTGAGGTAACAGACACCAGTGTGTTGTAAGCTTTATATTTTTTAATAATACAAGTACATAGAAAACGGAGGGAGGAGAGGAGATGTAAAAATGGAAGGCAATTTCTGAAACTCAGATATATAAGGTCTTTGGGATTTTCTTAATTATTACATTAAAATATTTATGCTCTCTAAATTTAAACTGATTTTTTTTAACGTGTAGGGGGAAAATGTATGAATTGATGAAGTTACCCTAGTTTAAATTCTAATAATAGAATGTAAGTTCACCAGTGTACAATAACAAGGTCAAGATAATTGAACAAAATTTTAATTTTTATAACTTAGAAGATAGTGGGATATATGATTTGTCACAGTTACAAGTAGACTTTTTACTCTATAACTACACATAGTTTAGAACTAAAATGCTAATTTTAATTTCTAAAGAATGATAATACAAGAAGACATTTTCTTTACTAACTTGGATATTCATCTTCAAGCCAGGCAATACAATTCCTTTAAAGTCTAGACAGAAAGAAAGAGAGTGATGCTTATTACACAGTGCATCAGGGAGGGCTATGGTGATTGCAGTGATGATTCTGGTCTGGTGTTTGCTAGTTTTTACTGACAAGCAAAATAACCACTGTACCTTACTCTGTCAGTCCTATAAAGTAAACCTTTTTAGATTTAAAGTCATCACAGTGTGCCTTCTTTATAAACATTTGTCAGTGGACTGAATTTTTTCAACATTATTTCTGGATAAGGGTTATAATGAAGTGAATACTTTGGATGTTGGGCTAGAAATATTAAAAATAATGTGTTGTACTAGAAAAGTCATGGGCTTTTGTGTCACATCTAATCCTGGATCTATCTGATACTTATACGACTTGGGCAAGTTACTTGTGAGCCCATATTCTTCAGGTACAAAATGAAGATAATATCTAATTATAGAGTTACTATAAAGATTAGAATAAAATCAGCTATATCTCTAGTTCTGACACATATTAGGCTTTCAGTAAGTCATACCTGCTATTTCTATAATTATTAATATAATATCCTTAAATTTCAGGTACTTGGTTTTATATCTCAAAATTTAATCATTATGACCTAGGTTTTTATTTTAATTAGTGAAATTTTCCCTTAATTTAATATTGGAAACATTCATTATAGAATCAATTCGAAACAAGACAGATAAGGTAAAATATGGTGCTAATATTATTTGTTGGCTTTCTTTAATATATAATACATATTAAGGTTTATAATTTTTAAACGAGATTGAGATAGTTTGTGCTAATTGAATGCAGATTGTAGAATTAGTGATTTTAGAACCTCTTGCTCTTTGGATTTACAAAGTATGTTTTTGTTTTAATATGCAGTTATATTCTGCATCTCTCTTTGATCTTAGTTGAGTGAAGAATTGGTTTCACTATTCTTAAATTTTAACACTCATGAAGTTAATGTAGTACTTTGAAAGTTTAGTTGAAATGAGCTATGTAGTTCATCTTCAAATGTGCCTACATCAACCACTGCCTGGTTTTGGGTGGCAGTTACATCTTTTCAGGGTTTGGGGTTTGTTACATGAGAAGTGTGGAGCTGTGTAAGTTTTAAGTTCATCGTTTTCCCCAGATTTTAATGAGATTAGAATAACTTTTTTTAAAATAAGACAAAGTGGAAAATTCTTTATTTCTATACCTTTTCTATGAAGATAAACTTTTAGGTTGTATACTTCAATGAAGAGGCTTCACTTTAAATATTTTATGATTTTCTGTGTTTTTTATTGGCAGTATAGCAGTTGCCACTTAAAACTTATTTTTGAGCAAAAAAAAAAATAGAATGTATTTTATAAAATAGGTGTTTATGAGAGGTCTCTGACTGACATAGAAAGTGTATTTTACCTATCAGGTAGAAACTACAGCACATTACTTTTATTCAAGCTGTACTTTACTTAAGGGAAAAAAGATTGGTATATCTGAGTCTGTTCATTCTCAAAAATATAAGTGTTTCGTTCACATAGTAAAATATATTTTGACAGAATTCTGAGAACAAAGGAGAGGAAATTATCTAAATTCTTAAATTTGGTTTTATAGGAGTTCCATCTGGAATATGACAAATTAGAAGAACGGCCTCACCTGCCATCCACCTTCAACTACAACCCTGCTCAGCAAGCCTTCTAAAAAAAGACTTCCCTTTTCTTGGGGTATGGCTGTCTCAGCACAATACTCAACATAACTGCAGAACTGATGTGGCTCAGGCACCCTGGTTTTAATTCCTTGAGGATATGGCAATTGGCTTACGCAAAGGGTCACCATTTGAGGTCCTGCCTTACTAATTATGTGCTGCCCAACAACTAAATTTGTAATTTGTTTTTCTCTAGTTCGAGCAGGGTCTGAATTTTTTCATTTATTTTCTTTTTTGCCAGCAGACAGACTTGGGTCTATAAAGACAAGCAAGTACACTGACAGAAGTTTACCATTGAGTTTCTAAAATGTAAAAAAGAAAACCCACAAAGACTCAACAAAATTAGACCACAAAATTTGCATTGTTCATTGTAGCACTATTGGTAATAAAATAACAAATGTTTGTGCATTTTTATGTGAAGATCCTTCTCGTATTTCATTTGGAAAGATGAGCAAGGTCTGCTTCCTTCATTTTACTTCCCCTTCTGTTTTTGAAAGGCAGTTTCGCCAAGCTTAACGCAAGAATATCTGACTGTTCAGAAGAAAGATATTGCCACAATCTCTGGATGTTTCCAGGGTTGTGTTATTACTGAGCTTCATCTTTCCAGAATGAGCAAAACACTGTCCAGTCTTTGTTACAATTTTGTAATAAATGTGTACATTTTTTTTTAAATTTTTGGACATCACATGAATAAAGGTATGTATGTACGAATGTGTATATATTATATATATGACATCTATTTTGGAAAATGTTTGCCCTGCTGTACCTCATTTTTAGGAGGTGTGCATGGATGCAATATATGAAAATGGGACATTCTGGAACTGCTGGTCAGGGGACTTTGTCGCCCTGTGCACTAAAGGGCCAGATTTTCAGCAGCCAAGGACATCCATACCCAAGTGAATGTGATGGGACTTAAAGAAGTGAACTAAGACAATTCACTCTGGCTGTTTGAACAGCAGCGTTTCATAGGAAGAGAAAAAAAAAAAAGATCAATCTTGTATTTTCTGACCACATAAAGGCTTCTTCTCTTTGTAATAAAGTAGAAAAGCTCTCCTCACTGCAGTGTTGACTTTGATTTGAAATTGTGAATTTATTTCTTCAACATGAAAAATAGAGGGAAGAAACCTAAAGTTTTACAAATAACAAACTGAATGGTATGACTAAACAATTTTAAATGTCTTTTTTTCAGCTTTTGACAAGTAATTTAATGGAACCATTCACCATTTTACTTGTAAGTTAAAAAATGTAGACATTCTTAACCAAGTTCAAAACAGAACTTTTTAAAAAATAGATTATGGAATCATTAGAAATAAAACTTCCCAAACACTCTTGGTACCCAATCAAAATACTTTCCTGTAACATTTATGAGAAATTTCTTGATAGACTTTTAAGATTTATCTTTAAGAAGTAATATTGAAAAAAGAAGAAGAAGTAATACTCATTAAGGTAAGCCAAAAGCAGTGGTGGGATAGACTTTACCTTCAGTTTGCTGGTCTGGATATTTCAGATTTACAAGTTGATACATTCTATTCCATTTAAAGATAAATATACTGTATTTTAAAATACTGTAATATTCTGAAGCTATGAAAGCAGAACTAAAGATAGTAAAAAAAAAAGGCGGTGAGCTTTTATCTTTAAATTTTCATTTTTAATGTATTTTTCTATGAAGAATGAAAGCTTGTTGACATTTACCAAATTATGTTTGAAAATGAAACATTTATGACATTTTTGTGTTTGTGTATCAGGCATATAAAATAAGAGTTACCTTTTTCTATGTATTTTGAGATAAAAGAAACTGACATAAAAATATCAGGAGTTTTTAATCTTTCAAATTTAAACCAAAGCATCTCTCCTCTGAAAGAAAGATGGCATTTATGTAATTATAGTTTTACTGTTGTGCAAAAAACTTCACCATATTTGACATAAACTAATGTTAAATCCTATAATTTTTTTTAAAGATTACATTTTTTCACAATTTACCATGTAAAATGTAATTTTTTGTTTATAACCATGAGAAACAGAAAAAAAAATGGAAAGGGATCTTTATTCTTATGACTGCAAACAACATTAAGTGTCGCCATGAGCATGATTGGCACTATGTGAATGACTCAGAAAAGCAAGATAGCTCATATTAAGTAGTTTGTTATCTTGGCTTGAGTTGTTTATTTTAATTGCCATATACAAAGTTTTAAGTGCACACTTTTCCAGATTTCTGAGTTCAGTCATCAAAATGAGAAAACTCTTACATGTAAACCAACTTTTTATACTTGTCAATATCAGAAATTACTGTCCTCTTGACTTTAAATTCAAGTTTTAAAATTCTGTGTGAAATCTTTAATATGATATTTTAAACTCTTTATATAACACACTTATATTTCTTGTATATGTATAACATGCTTATACATGTACAAAAGTAGACCTAAACTAATATTTCACATTTTCTTTCTTGGTTTAAAGTTTCCCAGTTTTTCCCTATATAACTGACATAAATGTGTACATTATGTTAAATATTTTTTGTGATTATTTTATCATTGGCTTTCTCGAACCAAAAGCTATTTAGTTGCAAAGGAAAGTCCTTTCAGCTATTTAGTCTCATATATTCTATGCTTTTTGTTGTAATACTGTATATGAAAAACTATTTTCAGGGATTTTTCAGTGCACAAAAAGTTTGATATAACGAATTTAAAAACTGAAAGTTTGAGTTCTTACATATATATAAAGGCAACCACTTATCTAGTCTTTTCCTTTTTGCCACTGAACTTGGAACACAAGAGATGCTTGATAAATACATGTCGATTAAATGGTATAAATTGATATTTCAATTTGAAAATAAAATGTACAAGTTAAAGCATTGAGCTTTGAAACAATTTACTATTTTTTGCTGTAATTTCATTTTCAAAAGAATCTTTTTAAGTATTTTCGATTAACTTTTCAAAACTTCAAATTTTTCCTACTCTGCACCTTCCTCTGAATCCTCCTCCATTCAAAAATCATAGATCTTCCATTCTGTTACACCCATCGCTCATTAAATGTGTCATCTGAGCATGGCCCTGCAAAGGAGGACTCATTTAACTTAGGCTTAATAGCATCAGTTTTGCAAGAAAGTTGCTGAAAACCTAAATATGCATGTGTGTAAAAGGGGATGTTCATATTTAATGTTCTCTTAACCATGGTTTGTTTGTGTAGTTAATAAGACGCAGAAATACTAACTGGTTCCATTAAGACAATCTCTGGAGAATGTGATAAGCCAGACATACCTCAATATCTTTTTCAAAGCTAGATATTAATGGCATGTCACTAGGCTCACTCTCTCCTTGCTACTAGCATTACCAGTGAATTAGATCATACCATAAATAAATGACAAATCTAAGAGATGAAGCAAATAAATACAATTAAAATCAAAATTGAAATCTACATCTAACCCAGTAACTTTGTGTTGAGTCACATCAAAAAGGATACATTGAATCAGAATAATTAGTTTTACACTTCAGTTGCTAAAGGAAAAAGGGTGGTGGAATATAACATGGCTTAAAAGTGATTCATATGTAGATCAATGTAAATTGCAATTCTGTTGCCAAAGATACTGATGTAATATTTGGCTTCATTAGAAAACGTATACTGCACAGAACAAGGTAAAAAGTCTGCTGTATTTTAAGAGCTGCCCATGACCAGGGAAGGCAGGGGAAGAGTATGTGGCATGCCTTCTAGCTGCCAAGCAGTATACTGTTTGACATGCTTACTGTATCCTGTCTTCAGCATAGTGTCATGAGGTAGGTTTTAGTGTCCCCATTTTATAGTAAATTTAAAATACCATATGAAAAAAAACCACCCAAGAAGTAGAAATGTTTAGCATTAGAAAATAAACTTTGGAAATATGGTATCTGTCTTCAAGTATCAAATTCAAGAGCTGTCAATGAAAGATGAATTCATTTGTGTGGCTGAAGAGCACAACTAGGACCAGTAAGAAAGAGTTTGGTGCAATATTAAAACATAACGTCATTAAGATATTGAAATGAATTGCTTTATAAGGCATTAGGTTTATTCTCACAGAACATTACCAAGAAGAGACTGGATGAAAAAGTGTTCTGCATAATAAGCTAAAGAGTTGAACTGAATGATCTTGAATGTTTCTATTAAAGCAATAAAAGAAGTGAGGTTACTGTATTTTGGCAAACCTAATTGCTAACAATTGTAAGGTACATCATTATTTTGTGTACCACTAAGGAAGAAATAGCTTAATAAAACTATGAAAAGCCACATGTTAGAAAATGCATACAGATTTCAAAGATGCCATGCCTTCAAATATAGGAAGGACTTAAGATGTTGAAGAGGGCACATCTCAAACTAGCAGGTAGAGGAAGTTGAATGAGAGATTTTGGTTCTGTATGTTAAGATGCTGTCCCAAAGTGCTAACTGCTTTGTGAAGTGAGGATTTCAACAAGAAAAATGTTCAAGCAGAAATTGGATGACTATCAGAATTGCTATTGAGAGGACTGCCTGTCTAAAAAGTTGGATTAGATCGTTTCGAGGCCTCCTTTCAGTTCTTTAACCCTTTTCTCATTTGCCCCACGAAAACTTGGGGATTGCCGTCCTAACTTCACCCCCAAAGTTTGCCATGAAATATCTCATTATTTTCACATTGCTCTAGTATATCAATAGTCTTTGGAAACAAATGACATCATTCTACTTACAGCATTGTTTTTAGTTAAATTACTGAAAATGTCAAATCTTAGGAAATATAGCATTCCTACATGAGCTGCATTATTTTTTTTCTAAACAGGAAAAGAATGTTGGTACCCTTTTCTTGATCTAGAGTTGAGGAAGATGATGTAATCAGGGCTAAAAGTATATAAAGTATTCACCTAGTCTAAAATGCACCCCTCTGTGAATCATAGATAAGCTTTAATTTTACTGCTAAGTTTTAATTAATTTTACTGCTATATCTTTGGAAAGAAATTTAAATAGTTACAGAAGGCAACTTTATTCAACTTTTTTCTTAAACTTTAGGAATAGGAACATGAAACAGTAAAGCACAACAAATAGTCATAATGTGTATATTCACCAGATTTGTTATGTACGTTTTACATTCAAAAGAGTTTTTGATAAGTTTTGAGGTAAATGTTTAGCCTGAAATTATACATTGCATTAGTGTTCAGTCTCCAGTTTTCAGCTACAGTAGTGATCACAAAAATTAGATTAAGCAGTAATCCTATTTTTTATTTTAAAAGTGATCATTAAATTTGATGTATAAAAAGCTCAATTTGGATTGAAATAACTGCAGGAACTAACCAGCATCAAAGTTATCCTCTAGCTAGGTAATTTTCAAACTTAACGTGCATAAGAATCACTTGGGGAGCATGTTAGAAGTGTCGATTTTAGGCCTTATGTTCAGATAATCTGATTTTCCAAAGTCTAGAGAGAGGCCAGGAATATGCTTTAGTAAACACCAGAAGTCATTTCTCAAGTTAGTGAACTACCAATTACACTTAAACTACTTGGCCTACTGTACAAGTACTAACGAAAATAAAATCTTACGGTTCTGGTGAAATCCAACAGTGAATTTTGGAATAGTACATTCCTGTGTATCAGCTATTTTTTCTCGTGTCCAGTGTTCTAGTGCAGAACCACATTATTACAATAGTATTTATTGGAGCAGAATACAAAGAATGTTAAATCCATTCCTAAGTATAAAACAGCAAAGTGCTATACAAGAATTGAAACTTTTAAAAGATATTTCAGCTTTGTTTAAAAACAACAAAAAATTTTTAACCTTATTTCCTGAGGATGTTTTTGCTAGATCTTAGGTTTCCACTTGAGTTTGTGTGCATAAAAACTGCTAAGGGCAACGATGTGTATAATTCTATGTTCATCAACTGAAAGTTTTTTTTTTAATCCGGTCTTCCTATTGTATAAATACTATAATCTGACAAGATTTTAATGATATATTTATCATAAGAATTCAATGTTCACTTTAAAAACCTAATCATTTTCAGATGTTTGCCATATAGTTTTCCCTCATTTGTTTAAATGACTTCTTGAAAGTCGTAAAATTCACAG